ATAGCAGATTATATTTAATTTGTAATTGAATCAATAATATTGCGTTTGTCTTAGCTGAAAGCGGTCACGGTTTCTTTACGCTACTTTTTCTTTAATTAAGCAAATGTCAGCGAAGTATGATAACGTATTTGATAGAAAATTATGATGTTATTCCTTTACGAAAGCACAATATCACATTCAAATGATTTAGATTTTCTATTTTAAATTTGATATTAATTTTAATAGTCAAAATACAATTTATACATTTTATATAGGTTTATAATATCGATGTATATATGTATCTATTCTATTTTTATTATTAAGTAAGTATTTATAAAGTGATGGAACAGAAGTTTTATTGATTGAAACACATTTTACAGTAGAAATGCTGGGAAATAATTTCCAAATCTTGAGACTAGGCATTTGCAGCCATCAATTGTTTCAGCGAAAACAATTGGTTCGTATTTACGTCTCTCGAAATGTTTCGGATTCGATTCCCGATATCTGTCTCAAATACTGATTTTTCAATTGTTCTGTTTATGACATGAGATTTTCTTGTTGTTAATAAAGTATTATAGATAGAAACTAAGACTATAAAATACAGGTTTAAGCCTGATTGTTGAGATATTTGTCGCCTTTTAAGACGGCCACTTGTTGCGTATCCGCGCATTATTTCGACTGTGTATCCAAATGACAATTATACTGATAAAAAATTCTGTTCAAACAAAATTGTTTAATTAAACGATTTTGTTAATTGAATTTATAATATGTTTGTATTAATAAAAAATTATGTTATCATATACAAATAAAATATTATAATAACCAAACTTTTTGCTTGCATAAATTTGTTTGTTTAACAAAATTTCATAGTGACGACGTATTCATCTTATACCGCCGCTAGTAAGAGACGCGTAACTAAACGTTTTTCCGAAGAAGAATACTTATGAATAATTATAAATAAAATTAAGAATAATTTCGGCTGAGATAATATTTTTTACGATAAGTTCGTTACAGATTTTAAGATGCTAATAGCACACATCAAATTAATGATTTAATTTAATTTGGAAAATTATTATTTCAGTTTGATTGTGTTACAAATCCGAAAGTAGTTGGCACGCAATCATATTTCTGAGAGTCGTATTAACATTTTAAGAAATTATTTAAGACAGTCTTAAATAATCTAAAATAACATAATATGAATACTGACGTAAAATTCGATTGATTACAAAATCCAAAAATTCAACATGTGCTTAATACCAGAGTTTAACAATCTAAAAGTCATTTTGAGAAACATCAAGAAGAAATAAATTTATTAAAAACGTATAACGTTAATATTAATTATGCTGATTGGCATTGATTCTAATTTTTAATTTAATTTTATTTAGCCAAATAATTCTTCATTATACCTAAAAAGATTACCTATAGCTGCGAATGTGTGACATATGTGATCCTATGACCTACTTCTACGCACACACACATGACGCTTTCTCCTTTGCACGGGTCAGCTCAGTTCAAAACGAATGAATTATCCATCTTGCTCTCTTTCTCTCTCTCTCTCTCTCTCTCCTCTCCCCCCCCTCACACATACACACACGAACGCACACACAACCTTGAACCTGGCCGAAAGTGCAAGTGGATCGGCATCGTGGTAAACCATGGCAAGACGTCGGGCAGGGAGAGGAGGTAGGAGAGATTGAGAGAGACATGTACAGTTGCTGCCGACCGAAACGGTTTTTGGTCGCCTTCGACGAAAGTGAAACGGCCTTCGGGAAGGAGCTCGCCGCGTGCATATGGACGCCATTGAACTAGTGACCTTCATATGAGAACCGGTCTTTGTTCAGGGCCCTTAGAGTTAGCGACCTAGCTCGTTGTGGGCCCTACTAGGCCAGCTCTTTCTGTAGACAACGAATCATTTACATGTGGCCAATTTGGATAAAATTACCCTTTATCCCTTCAATTGATCGAGAGTTCGATTTGAAAATTCATATAATGAGAAAAAATTTTGGTTAAAAATAATTAAATCAGAAAATTCTGGTTACCGCAACCAGAATTATAATAGATTCAACCAGAAAATTTTGATTAAATTTGTCCATTTTCAATCAGAATTCCAATTAATGCAACCATTTTAATCAGTATAATGTTCGAATCTTTTTTGGACTAGTAAAAACGAAATATTGTTTGACAATTTATTATCATTTATAAACTTTTTGGTAGGTTCATGAATTTTACTAAAAGCAGTTTTACTTTCAAAATAAAATTTTGAAACTGATAAAAAAGCGAGCACGATAAATTTCTTCGCGATAAAGCGTCAATAAAGTCAGGGTTGGTGTCTGGAAGGTTATCTGGTTTTTGGCGATTTATATCATTAATAACAAAATTCATCCAATTTTCTTCAAATATGATGTTGATCGCGATACAAAAAGTAATCTTCCGATTTCTGAATAAATATCTCAGTATGCCTTATTACATATTAAGAATATAGGTACATATTAAGAAAAAAAAAGTAGTCACTGCTTTCGCTATGATTACTTGTTTACGATACATATCTGGTCTATTCTCGGTATCAGAGTAAATCGCAATAGAAAGTATCTTTTTCTACACGAGTATCATAATTTGAGAAAACATGAAAGATTTATCTTTAAATCAAAATTAACACAAAAATAACTGTATTATATATATAAACATTTGTTATTTTTTTAATGATTAAACGGTTCGTTTAATCATTAATTTGATAAATCGTTTTACATTACAGAAACAAACCTGCTATCAAAGGAATTGTTGAAAGCACTTTTTTTAAGCTTACAGATATATTCATTTACGTAATTGAACTTTACTAAAATAAATTTTAATAATCAGTTTAAATCCTGTTTGACCCAGTATTAAATCGAATTAAGCGATTATATAAATTAAATAGATAAGATATATTTTCAACACACACTTAACGATAAGACACGTCGAGTTTAATTTGTGCAATGATGAAATATGATTAATACAAGGAAAGTATGTCGTTAAAAGCTCGATAAACTTTTTGACTAAAGGTAGCAAACCATGACCTGACACAAACTGTCTTCTCCAGATTTAATGAGATTTAATAGCATCAATACATATTCCTTGTACACTAAATACATGTGTGTGTGTGTGTGTGTGTGTGTGTGTGTGTGTGTGTGTGTGTGTGTGTGTGTGTGTGTGTGTGTGTGTGTGTGTGTGTGTGTGTGTGTGTGAAATACAATTATTTACGATATGCAAAGAATACACCATAATCCAGTGATTTTAAGAACTTTTAATTTAATCGTGCATCTTTCAAGACATCTCCACGCAGATATGATTTTTTTGCAGCACTTGTGCGTCATCGGTCGAGATGCAAATTCATAACGACGATTAAGATATAACCTAGGAACAAGTCAACTCCGAGACATGAGATGATGTAGACGTTAACGGGAAAAATAAATAGCTGGGTGGCGCGATTACGAAACCATCGCGCTGTGCCGCGCCGTGTAGACGTCGGTGTAAGCTATGTCGTATCACCTGCGATAATTTGCGTTAACATTGAGACGGAGCATGCGGACAGTTAGAGGACGGTTCGACTGATATCATATCTGCAGACATGGATGCATTTCGTATCAATGTTTTTATTTCCTTAACCTTGTGGCCTTCATCTGTCTTAAGTAGCAAGTATCTCATGGACGGTGACAATTACGACGCAAGTGCGACTTATTTGCTACACAGTTCAGATTTAAAAGATATTCACGGCACATAGAGAGTGCAATCTTTATACGTACTTTTAGCCGAATCGATAAGTTCGTACAAGTTTGCCTTTACCGTAACGATAGACGGTGTACTACGAAGAAGTTACACGAGCTGGCGCATAGGAATTTATTTCTATATTCCAGATAATACGGTGTTCCATAAATTTCTATATATCTGATCTTGAAATGAATTTATCTATATGCCGTCTGGCATTAAGTATTAATATTGTAACTTTTATTTATTTACTGAGAGAAGAATGCTAAAAGATATTATTGTGAGCTAAGATACATGTAAATATATATATATGTATATATATATATATTTAAAATGCTAAACATTAAATTGAACGTCTTGTTAATTATTGAATGTAATTTCCCGCTGATAAAAGTTTCATATATCTAACTTCAGAATATTACAAAGAATATGAAGGCGGAGTTTTGTATTAAGTCCCGACCTACCACAAAATGACGCGTTGCAATGTTAACATAATTATACTTTTCCAAATCGCGTGATATCACATTCCGACTTTGACATTGAACTTCTTATCGACTAGCTGCACGGGATTGTCTGCAAAAACAACGATGTAGCGAACATTTACTTTAGAATCGAAAAATGATAATCTGCTGGCGGAAATGCAGATGTTGAAGTAATTTCAAAATTATTTAAAAGTATGACGGATTTTTTACATTAATTTTAATTTTTGAGATACATAAATACGGAAAATAGAATATGTAAAAATTTCGATAAAGAAAAAATTTACTTCCGTGCAGAAATTATGTGTGTACGTATGTACATTTTTTAAAAGATTGAATTTATTATTACATTTTAAAATAATTGAGATAATTCTTATCATTACTTCCTGAGGAATATCCTGCACACGAATAGCATATTCACCGACAGTGAATGCATCGCCACGACGATGAATCGATCCCTCGTGACAGAAAGTCGATGTAATTTTACCCTCATGTTCCCTTCAGTTTTGATATTTTTTCCAGATATCATGGTTGATAACGTAGCAACTAATTCGTCGAAAATTACATACGCAAATCGTCATACTGTTGACTGCATTGTATAACAGCCGGTAATAATTGGCTTGAAATCCGGTATTAAAATTGCAACCATTTATTTGACTAATTATTTACGTTATAAAAGTAGTTGGCTGAAAAAAAGACAATACGATGTGGCAATATAGTTGACGTTTATCATCAAATATAAATGTCAATGAATGGTATATTAATAAGTGTCAAAATTTAATTGATTAAGGTCGCTCTGGCGTTTGCGATGGAAATTTTGTCAGAAAACAAATGCATTCATGGGTTTAGCGTGACGCTTTGATGATGACGTGACCGGATTCTTGTCGCGAATGGAAGTCTCGTCAAGGGTGATCCGACGTTTTAGGAATCGCTATTGTCGCTCTACCTCCCTCACCTCCCATCGAACGCATGGCACGAGACGACGGCGCACAATGTGCTACACAGAGTCTCGCAAAAAGAGCTCGCAGTATAGCCTTGACTGCACGCGGGGGTTGCTATGGCGATAACCAGGTCCACACATACACATGCCCACCGATCGCGCGCAACAGCCACCCCCGCGCGGATATAACTTCCCCTGTCTACCCTCCTGTCGACTCTCTCTCTCACAAACGGCGACGACCAAGAGTGTGACCCCGACCTTTCAGGTGGATGACCTCCGCTGCATCGCGGATGCGCGCGCAACGGCGGACCTCACCTAGACGTGAACCCCCTCTATTTACCGGAGACACCCTTTGGTGCGGACTTTGCTTGAGAACAGGGTCGAGAAGATTCGTTTGTAGATATGTTCAAATTTTGATAGAATACCGATGCTTTTAGTCAATTGATTCAGAATACGTTATACTTAAATGGAGTAAAAAAAGAAGAAGAAGAAGGGGGAAAGACAAAGGAAGGAAGAGAGAGAGAGAGAGAGAGAAGTACGCGATAGATCAATCCATTAAATTGATCAAGCGTTGCATTTAACATTATATTTATAGCTAAAGACAAATAAACTATACTATAATTAATAGAATAATTTACAAGAATTTTACAAAATTAAATTGACATCAACATATCGTAAGAGAATCTAATTTAAAATACATAGAGTTCTATCTTATGGTCAGCTCAAGCCTAAAAGCTGAAACTTATAAAAAATCTGTTTTATTTTTAAAATTTTACACATAGCGAAAGTATTTCTATAAAAATAATTTTCAGGATTATTAATACTTCGTAGATTATTAAAAACACAAATTGTATTTAATCTTAGAAAATAAACATGTTTCGCAATAGCTGGATATTTAGATTTTCCTTCAGGGTAGTGCACCTGTGTTCGTAGTACGAATCGACAGGTGTAGAAAAAAGTTTATTCTCGTTGGGTATCATTGACCCGGTCACTACCCGATTGTATACGTGGTACACTACGCCTATGCGCCAGACGTCGAGGGGTGCTCACCCCTTCCTGTCTGCACCCTCACATAGAAACGCGGCCGAGGCTTTTGCACGAATAGTACCATTCGAATGTTCGACCCTACACTATCCTCCTCTCTCGTCTTTCTTTCTCTCGTCGTCCTCGATATTTCTCTCCTTTTCTCCTAAGTCAATTACGCATTAATTAAGGCTTAAGGAATTAAAGAGCTTAGTGGAAAAAAAAAATTTGTTTCTATATCGCTTTTAGGCATTTTATATTAGAGAAATGGCGAATTGCCAGTATAATCAAGAAGAATAAGAAATGAAAAAGGAAACAAGACACATTCTATAAAAAGAAGCCGTATACTTTGTTATAAAGAATCCGTTATCTTTTCGGTGAGCCAGCACATTATGATTGCACATTAACTCCGATAATATTTGACCTATAGTAATAGTAGTTGTTTCAGTGTTAGTAATAAAACTATTTTATCTCTTATTTATTTCTTTAAAATACTGTATGAAGAATAAATATTAAGATTCTTGAGAAATATTTGATTATGTGCAATCATACAGTAATCAATACTGACAATTTGTATTTTTTCATTACATTCATTATGAAATTCCATTGAAAGTTATTATTTCTGTAATAGGATAATATCTTAAACCTTTGGTAATATCTTTCATAGATAAAAAAAAATTCGATGGCAAAGAACACTTGTACATTTTCAATTTTATCTTAGTTGGGAATTTTTCGGAAATCGAATAATAATGTAGTGACAATAAGATAGGGAGCTATACTCAACGACGAAGGGTCGATGTATACATATGCGAATGCATCCACGAAGACGTAGCTGGTGAAGCCTGGGGCTAAAGGGAAAAGATGGTAGGTTTTTGGAGGGTGTCTGTCTAGACGGATTGTCTGGAATAAGCCATGACCGCGAATCGACGCCTTGTTGTAACGGCAGGAAGAAGCGTAGGATTATATGAGCAATGCGTGGGAAGCATCATTGTATTCAACTTTCGAAAGAATACATTACGTAGCCCTTAATCACTGTCGACTAAGTTTTATAAAATTTTCTGACGTATTGTTCGTATTATTTTAATCCTTATATTAATTATTTTATTCGAAATTAAATTCGCATTAAATCAATCATTATTTTTCGCGTATAAAATGTACAAGAACTTTGTAAAATTTACAACATTTATCTTTTATACTGTCAAAGGAAAATGAAGAAACATTATATCACATAATTATCTGTGAATGAAAAAATATGGTATTTTTACTTAGAACTCTTCTTGTAAATTCAATTAAATTCTTTGGAATGCATAATAAATTTATTTTACATGCAGTAAAAGTCATTAAAAGTTTTCATTAAACAGTTAAGAAAATACATTCGAAAATGGCTACTGTTGGCCAATGCCCCTGAAGCTTAATGACCTCGTGACTGTGTACACCAGCAGCTGGCCAAAGCCCCCGAACATCGTATGTGCACGCGAAACGAACATTGCATGCATCGTTATTTTGTTATCATCAAAATAATATCTGATCTGCAAATCTACTCGATTAAAACTTTTATACCTTAAAAATAAACGAAGAAAATTAAGTTCGTATATTATTGATTATGATATAGAAAATATATTAATAATATATTATAATTTAAATATGTATTATACAATTCAATAATTTTACCATTTTAGTATTCCTTACAAAATATTCATTTAAAATTTTAAAATTGCGCAAAGAGATTCAATTTATATAAACTTGTAATATTACATTTACTTTTATAAATAAAGCATATATTTTATTTTATTATTAATTACATATTTTATTAAATATATTTAGTGTATATTTAATGAATAAAAATAAAAAGTTGACTTCGTATGCAGACTTGGAAGTAATATTATATTTTTTCACGTTTTATAACTTTTAAATAATAAGAGTTTCCTCTCAACATTATAATAACGAGTTAAAATATTTATAAAATTTTAATTTTTGTAAAATATATCCCAGCGAGAAATGATCGTTAGACGGAAATCGATATCTAATTACCAGCGAAATTATATGGTATCGGTGTTTGACATCATCGTTATCATCATCATCATCATCATCAATCATTTCTCGCTGGAATGTACTTTTATCAGCCCTTAATTACTTTGAACAGTCGAATAGTCTAACGTAGGACGTGGCAATGGCATAGTGGCACTGTAGTGCGAGAGAGCGAAAGTTCGCCCTAGTGCCGCCATCCTGTCTGCAGAATTTCGTCCTCTGTGCCCGGGCACCCCACCGATATTCCCTCTCGTTGCACAACTTCCTCGCAAGCTGCCTCTACCCTGTCGCGTATACCGAATAAGTTGCACCCGGCTATTAACGTTTGTTAACGTGTACTTTAAAGAAACGATTGAGTATTCAATCGTTTTATTTGATAACTTTATTTATTATCATAGACTAAAATGGATAAAATTTTGACAAATATAATAGGGTATAAAACATATTCGACTGAATAATAGGCCCACTATTCACTATTGTTGTTTCTTTTCATAAGTAGATAATTTAAGGTCTTCAGAAAAATATCGCTAGTTACTTTATCAAAGCACTATCACACAAGTAAGCTTTTAAAAGTTTAGTCTAAAGATCCTTAAAAAAAAATGTTGAAGGGAACTCAGCTCAAAGGGTTAATGGGTCTTCCAGGTTGGCAACCGCCCTGTCTGCGAGCTCGCGGTCCTTTTTGCTCATGCTAGTCGGGCAACGAGGGAGTTATGGCTAAGGAAGAGCGAGAGGAAAGTTTGCCCCAGTACGTTGCACCCTTTTTCTCTCTCCGTTCCTCACCGCTAGCTCTCTTGGTCCGGGGAGCTTTGCCACCCTCCGACGACGCCAACCCCTTGGTCCTCCAGATCTCCAGGTTCCCTTCCGCCACCGAATGTCGTCCCTCCGAGGCGTCAGCTTCCTCTCGTTTTACCTCCCGTTCGTCCTGCCCGGCGCGGCGTCCCGGTATTCCCGTATTCCCGTTTCGCCGCCCCCGAGTCCGCGCTGCATCGCCGACGAATCAATACCAGCAGACATCCTAACTCACTGGAGGTCAATGCCTCGTTCCCGTGAGCGCCGACGACCTCAACCTCCTACCTTCCCTACCCTACAACCTCCTTCCAGAAGCCAGACGAGGGCTCTCGGCCGCGTGGGGAGACGACTTCCACCTCTGACGAAGCCTCTGTCGGCCCCGATTGTACAAGCGAGACGACGCGACGAGACTACGCGATGGTCGACGCGATGACAAATGTCGAGTGCATCGCTAAATCTTCTGTTAGCCTTTTCAAACGATTAAGCTTTTTAAAATCAAATGAAGGAAATGTTTATTACCTAATTTGCAACCGCGTAAATATTTAACAGATTTCCTTCATCTTTTTTTTATTAAATTATATATAAATATATATCTCTTCTTACGAATTGATTTAATCGTGATTTGTATTAATTGCTGCATTATAATTTAAAGCGATTTCTTCATACGAAAGAAAGATGAGAAAGTATGATGCGATGTGAATATAAGCTGCGCGTAGGAAAATTATTCTCTAGAATGCAATGACGCGCGGGACTAAAACAAAGATAATGATATTCAAAAGCTCGCATTCGTCTTCATACTCGACAAACCCCGCCTTCATTTCTCCGGTGGGGAGAGTCGTGTAGCTGTAGCCAAAAGATGCAAAGATACGTAGGTATGCAATTGCGCACAAGTACCCCATTTGATCACGCATTTCCTTCGCTTTTAATGGTCCCTGCCTATCCACGTATAGAAAAGGATATACTTTTGTTTTTAAAAATTAACATTATATCGTGAACAATTTCTATCGATGTGGACAAACACTTGGCATAAATGATGATTTTATATACTTGATCGAAAACATCTGGAGAGACATGGTATTTGCTCTAGACCTAGGAAAATATTGTCGCATGGATGAATGTAAAATTAGACGGTGCGTTCAACTCTCTTGCAGCCGTGCCAAGAACCGCGACGACTCTTCTTGGTGTTCAGTGGATGCTGCGGTACTACACTGCGGCATTCGCGATGGCACCAATGCCCTTGTTCCAAAATGAAATCAGCCTCTATCGTAAACGTTGTCGACGAATGTTTTTCCGCATTGGCGCCGCATAAATCATAACTCATTAATAACACGCGAAAAACGATGTTGCAATAGAAAAATTAAACTTTTCTTTCGATTCTCACGTTCTTAGGTCCATGGCATACAAAAAAACTTAAGCAGCAAAACGTAAGCAGTAAGCGAATTGGCCAATCACGGTAGAGGCCGGCAGACCATGATGTAAGCAATAGCAAATTCAGTATGTTTCCTATTCATGTTTTACTGCTTAAGTTTTTTATGCCATGGCTCTTAAGGATACAATACATAAAAAATTTAAGAAATAAGACGTAATTAATAAACATATCTACATTTTTTGGATTTGCTACTGATACTTACGTTATTATCTTACGTTCTCTATTTTGACCGATTTGCCGATTTGCTTAGTACCTATATGTCTTACTGCTTTACGTTTCTTTTTATGTGCCATAGCTTTTAAGCTCACGATTGAACGTTCAAAAATCCACTTCTGTGTCTTGAAATTGTAAATTTTTAATCAATCTACTATAAATTTTTTATATTTTAATATTCGAGATTAAAATGAAACTTGAAAACCATAAAAAAATAGAATTGGAGTTTCTTAAACATTATGAATAAAAGTGATATTAGATCAATCAGCATATTTAAAAAAAATGTTTCATGGGGCCTACAAGTTTTGATCCATAGTAATTATTTATTAAATTTTGCGGATTTTTAGATCTTGCGGATCTTTGAATGTTTTGATCATTACATTTCTTGATCATCATTTTCAGTGGATTATATTACAATTTGCCTTTGCAAAAATTGATCAGGAGGAAAGAAAGGGAGATCGACTAAGAAGACAAACACACAAAGGGTGTCGTTCTCATGAACAAAGACAGCGTGAGCAAAGTTAAACTGCGGTATCTAGCCAGCCAGGTCGTGCACCCTTGGAGGAATCTCACTGTTTGCGTCTCCAACGTAGATACTCGGACAGTAGAATGCGCGACCACAAAAATGTTTGAACGATAAGACGGCCGACTCCTTGATACAATACTCTATATAATTCTATAAACATGAACCGTGTTTCTCTCTCATAACTTTTTATCATCAATTAACAACTAACGGAAGGTCACAATTTAATTAAATTGTAATTAAATAATCTCAATGAAAAAAAAACATTAATTTTTAATACAGAATAAATTAATAAGATTATAATACATAATGTTGCAAAATATGATAGCCGATCAAATATTGTTTATACTTATTTATCTATTCAGTCTTTATTTACTTTGTGTTGTGTTTGTGTATACAAAATGAAAATTCGAATTATGTTCCACAAGAGAGATCGATAAATCTGTTACTATTTTTATTCAATAAAGGACAAATTAAAAAGCGATATTTAACGAGGATAACGGCACGATAATTAGAGCTCAAAAGATTTCCAAAGAATGTACATATTTACTTTATAATTGTATTCAAAAAATCATACGTTTTGGCTTTATTCAAGTCATTTTCAATGATACATAACAATTATTTCCGCATTTTTAAGTTTATTATTTTTATTGTATCAAGAATCATTGAATATTCCGCGTATTTTAAAAACCCTCCTAGGCATATCGTGCTCGATAAAAGAAAACGTGCGACGGAATAGTTATAGACGAAAACACACGAAACGCATCAACGACGCGAGATGCATCGTCCTCCAGGGTGACGTTCCAGAAATAACTCAGGACATCGCAGTCCAATCGTGGTTGCTTTCGTTCATCAGTTCAAGGTTAAAAGCGCGTCGCCATCGCGTAGTGGCTGCAACTTCCATGGACCGAAATACATCCCCCCTCCCCCTCACTGATATATATAAATACACTTACGGAAAAAAAAACTAAAAGAAAAGATACTGACGA